CTGGTAATAAACGATTAATTTTATACTCATTTTATGATGCTTAAAATAATCTTGATGCATTCATAAGAAGGAAGACTAAATTTGGTTGAAACCCAACATTAGATACTCAGCTGATATTTATATTCAGCTCGGAGGATGGTGCGATGTGTGCGCCAGTGAAAAAAATTTTTGACAGCCATTCAACTGGGAATGGCCCGAAACCATATATTTGGTTCAAACAGCTCACGACTTCCATGCTTACACCAAACATCCTCTGGTTAGCCAACAAACATCCGTTTGGAGATGAACTAAAGCGAGATGAATCCTTCTGCGGTTGTACGTAGGATTTAGGACCCACCACATAAAAAATATACTTCAATGAAAAGTTCAACAAAGCTTCGTATGAGAGACTCCCCTTTGATGACGACTCCCACAAACGTTTTAAGGATCACTATTGCAAGGTATGCATCTGGAATATACGATCCCTTAATGGCGAAGGTGTTGCAGCTCAGCTGGTCGATATCCTCGTAAGAAAAAAATTTGACATTAACACCGTCCAATAAGTGTGATGGACGGGATAAGTATGTAAGTAAGTAAGGAGCGAAAATTTAGTGTTGGATTTGTGGTGGGGCGATATGCTTTCTATGAGCGCTTAGTATGTGCCCATTAGCACTGCTCTCACCACGATATCAAAATAGTGCTTGGCGATTTTAGGGCCTGCAAGGATAAATTGCATAACAGCCAGCCGCCATGACGTTGTTGTTGTTGTAGCGGTTCGCTAGCCCCGCTTAGGTACAGTTTTCACTAATTTAAGTCGCCGAGTTCATCTAATGGGAGGTCCAGGAAACGAGCAGTTTCGACGGGATTAGACCAAATGGAGAGGGAAGGTTAGTTAAGTCGGTTTAAGGGGGCAAGTGAAGAGGTGGCTAGTGTCGTGCGGAGATTCTTCACATGCATATCATACGTTGGATATGCTGCGGTCGAGTCTGGATAAGTAGGAGTTTAACCTGCTAGAGTATCCAGACCTGAGTTGTGCCAAGGTCACGCGGATCTCTCGAGGCAGCTCGAGCTCGTTGCCGTCGATGGGTCGTGCTTTTAATCCGAGTACGTCACTGGAAGGTAGTCTTTGAAGACCAGAAAATCGTGCATCGATCATGTTGAGATTAATAGAAAATACGTCCTCAGTGCTCTTGACGTGCGTATGCTCAGACGACCCAACGTTGACTCGGACCACTAGTTTGTAGTAGCAAAGATATGCTCATGTTAATCGTCCTGCTATCGGTCTGGAGTCCGACATCTTTTTCATTTCGTTTCAATGCTTCGCTCATTGTTTTCCCCGATTCTAAAGAAACCGCAAACTCTGTTCGTCTGACGATACAAGCTTACCTTGTGTGTATATTTCTCCTCTCTGAATGGGACTGGTAAGCCCACGGTTGCGTGTTTTTCTAAGAACACATTCTCTTTAGTCAGTTTATCACCTATCTCTTCGCATTCGATGCTTACATTACCTAGCAAAGAAAGAAAAGGATCTCAGTCCATAATCCTATTAAAAACTGTTTCTGGTGATGGCCGTTGGAATCTATGCCTTGGGCTGTTTAAGTTGGGATGAAGCCATCGTTTGCACATTATGCAGGAGTCGAGCCAACACAACTTATCAATGTTCGCATTGCATTAAAGATGTTAACAAATAATTAGTAATAGCAGGTTTTGAAATTATTTGATTTTGTACCCACTTAGAAGGAGCTTTCCTCAGCTATTGTGGGATCAATCTGTCAGAGAGAAAATTCTGAGAAAAAACTCTGTCAATACTGCAATGAAGGTCCAGCTACTGTAATCGTATTTCAGTTCTTAACGAGGTTGGCATTATGCTGCCATTAGCCAAAAACACAGCGACTCAGCTCTCACAACCGGTCTTACGAGAGCGCCATGTAAATGAAAGTTACCATCGCTTACCGATGCCGATACTGACATTTGTTCCGTTGAAATCAGCGATAATTTGAAGTTTTCCATAAACCGGTTGTTTAAGAGTATGCCAGCACAGTGGCGGCTGGCAACATTTCGCCGCTGCAGGCAATGTGACTTATGACTGCATATCCCTCTGCCAGTTGAGTGGCACGGCTGGCAGGCACGAAAAATGGCTAGTTGGGATATTACTGAGGCCCCCTTTAATTTACTTGCGTGTACAGGGTATTCAATGTGGATTTTAATGAAAAAACAGAAAAAAATTCAAATTCTGCTTATTATCGTTCGAAGAACATTCTTTGGAATTTATTTCTATGTATTTATAATTTATGTTTTGAAGACTATCTCTTTCAAATGTTGGCCCAAATGTTGGCCGCGACTACGTCTCAAATGGTCATCCATTCGTTGAGTCCAATTTTCGATGACTCGTTCGATCATTTCGGCTGGTAACTGGCAAGTGACACGTGTGATGCTTTGCTCCAAAGACCTAATCGAAGCGGGATTGTCCGCACAAATTCTAACGGTGTGATAGCACACAATCTTAGTGACAAATGGACCGATTCAAAAGGTAAAATTATCTGCTCCCCGTAGTCTTCTCTCAATAAATCCATCGATTGATGCGATGAATGGGAAGTGATGCCGTTTCGTTGAAACCAAGTGTTGCCGAGATTCAGTTTTAGGCAACAAATATTCGGTTATCATTGATACAGTTCACATCGGGAACATTTTTGAAGAAATATGGACCGACGATTCCACTGGCCCACAAACCACACCAAGCCGTTGATTCTTTTCACGTTACGGTACTTGATGTGTTCCCAATGAATGGAGGGACCTATAGTTTATACTAAGGCGCCTCCGAACGGCTGATGATTTTTTTATGAGAAGCTTTATTTCATGTGTTAAATACACTCGGAGGGGGCGACCGCAATGAAAAAATTTAGCTCAATTTTTTATTTAAAACGGGCCTCACCGCTGAACAAAATTTGGCTCAAAAACTTCGGACCTTCTTGGAACCTTTTAAGAGCTCATAGAGCAAAGCGATGTCGCTTGGGAAGGTCGAGCGGCTTCAGTTCTTGCTCAAGCTACATATTGTATGCTTTCAATTTAAGATCTCTAAGTTGCTACGAACTACGGTCTTCGTGTACAATCTCAGCTACGGCCGTTATATTTTCTTCACTGCGTTCTGGACGTAGTCTATTCGGTCGTATATTATCCAATAATGAATGCTGGGTCTCAATATGGGCGCTGGTATTGTGAATAGGATGCCCAGTAAGCCGGTTATGTTGACCATAAGTTGAGCAAAGCACGTGACCGTGAATTTTCGTAGTAAAGTTGAACGATTTGTAAACGTTGCTTAGGCGGAAGTTTTTCCATGATGAAATATTTGGATCAACCTTTATGTTTGAACGTACGAGGACATTAACAAAAGTTCGGTCAGCTGGTGACTTTATTGGTATTCCTTTCAAATTTTAGTACAATCGGCTAAAATGAAGACGAGAAAACGTAAGATAGCTGAGCATAGGTCAGACGAAATTCCACTACCAATCCAAACAGAAATTCGCCATGTGATTCTTTTCGGATTTTGGAGTAATTTTCAGCCAAACCAAATATTCAGTGAATGCCAAATTGCATATGGAATGATTTCACTGTCTTTAAAGACCATTTCTAAGTGGTTCCCAAGAGGACGAGCTTTGAGAAGGTCGACCCATATCTTCAACTAATGACGTCACTGTAGCTCTGGTGAAGTCCCATGTGGACGAAGACCCACGATTATGTCATGGTTGTATTGCGAATTTTATGTAATCATCTGAGATACATCAAGAAATCTGCTCGTATTTTAACTGAGGCCTAAAGCGGGGCTCTAGTGCATTTCGCTCAATTTTCCCTAAAAAAAATTCGAAAATGGTCAGTCTAGCAACTTTAGTAAAGTCGTTACTGGTTACGAATCTTGGTTCTATAAGTACGATCCAGTAACCAAACATGAGTCCATGGTATGGAGCCCAACAGAAGCCAACCCACCCGTAAAATCTGAGGAACAATAATCAACAACAAAAGTAATGATGTCAGTTTACTCCACCCGATCTAAAGTGGTAGCTGCGATTCCACCGGAAAAGGGTCAGACCGAAGCTGTAAAATGGCACACCGAAGAGCGTTTACCATGAGTTTTCAAAAATTTGTTTGAAAACAGGGGAAAGACGATTTGCGGCTCTACTTTCTACCACCACACACTGCTGAAATAACGAGTAATTCGATTGTATTCTCTGGGATCGAAGAAATACGTCCAGCACCAAATTCCCGGATATAGGATCTTATGATTTCTGGTTTCCAAAAATTATAAAAAGTTCAAAAGAAAAGGTCTTTAATAGCAACGAGGAGTTAATTAATGCGTTTAATGCTGAACTTGATAAGCTAAAAAAGCAACATTTTGAAGACTGTTTTTAGAAGTGGATCTGTAGGCTTAAGAAATGCATTGAACTCAATGGCGATTATGTGGAGAAGATAAAAAAGGACAAAGATTACGAATAAATATAAAAAGTTTTCATTATTTTTCTTTTTTTCCCGGTCAATTTGTCGAACTCTTGTTAATCCCCTCGTATACATTGTCTGTTTCTTCGGTATCGATTACGTATAAGCTTTAATCGAAGTCAAAGACATAGACTGTGATATTTTTTTTTTTGTTGTATTAAATGAGCTTTGATGCGTACACTCGATTAAATGACAACAAAACGTAGCTGGTAGCTGAGCTGCATTGATAAGACGGCAAACTCATTCAATATGAATATATATATATATGTATGTATGTATTTATGTATATGCATACATTTTAGCACCTACACGCGTTGTGATTATGCTGTTGTAGAGCATAGAAAACTAAATATAGTAGATTTGAAATTTGATCTCTTGGTAAAGCCATAGATCGACCGATCCAACGTGAGCTTGTGCTCACCGTTAATGCCAGCTTCAACGGAATTGCGTCGTGTGATAAAGTAAGACGAGGAATCCAAAGAATTTTTACGCACAAACACATCAGCACCAGCCTCAGCAGCAGTACCAAGTACGATTAGCTGCGCGCGTTCAGCCAGCGAAACTTCAAAACGGATTCAGTTTTATTTCAGCATTCGTCGACCTCGCAGTTGTACCGTTGATTACTCGAGTGATTATAGTGCATTAGGTGACGGTATTTAGTTCACAGATCGAAACGTGGTTTGTTGTGAAGGCGAGTGTGTGTGCGTGTGTTTCTGAACGGTTTAATAATTATAGAATAACAACAGCACAATCATGGCTTGTCCGTACGCTAATGGAAATGGGTGCGTAGTTGAGGGTTTTGCGTACGGGATTTATTTATTTATTTTTTTTTTTTTAATTATATTTATACTCCTATATATACACATATAAAGATTTACTATGTAAAAAATTTTCGATTTGGCTGGAATTGGGTATAAGGCGGAATTTTATGTTAAAACTGACAGAAATAGTAGGTATAGTAAATAGTAATCCATTATTTTTGCAATAGATGACTTCAGTGAACTATACCTCGCGCTTGGGTTACGCTAGATGGCGTTAGAAAGAAGAAGTTTATACTAAAAATGACAACGGATGAAATGTCTTAACTCGGTGCCAGAGAAGGGCCTCAGCAAAGAGCAAATACACAAAATTCCAAAATTTTTCTTCGATAAAGGCGGAAAGTCAGGCAGCTGATACTGTCCTGATACTGTAACAGTAAATAAGACACAATTTTGGTTTCGTCAAATTTGTTACGGTAATTTTGATGTACAACATGCTTTTCGGTGTAGAAGGCCAATTGTCGAAGATATCGGTAAAATAATAGAAATTGTTGAACCTGCACGAAAGGCATCGATTTGCCAGGCGCTAAAATAACACTCGAGAAAGCAGTTTGAAGCCAAATTAAAAAATCCGGATCCTCAAAGAAGCTCAATGAATGAATACAACATGAGTTAACGAGAAAATATCTCTTAAACAGAATTTTCATCTGCGAATCTCTGCTGAATTGTAACAAAAACGATTCAACTCTGAACTCGATGGCGACTGGTTATGATAAGCGGATCACTTATAGTAAGTTGAAATGTAAATAAACGTGGTGGAAATGCGGCAAGCCGGCACGAACGGTCATCAAACTAGGATTGACGGCCGGGAATGTTTTGTTGTGTGTTTGGTAGGATTGGCAAGAAATGGACCCAATATGAGCTGCTATCCTAAAGCCATAGTTTAGTTCTGATCTCTAATGTCAGCAATTGGACCATTTGAAGAAAACAGTCACCCAGGAACGCAAAGCTTTAACCAATCAGAGGGGAATTGTGTTTCATCAGGACAACGACTCATCGATAGTGACTCACCAGAACTACAGAAAGTTTGGTTGGGTGGTTCATATGCATTCAACTAATAGTTCGGACCTTGCATCTAGTGATTACCAACTGTTTTGGTCTATGGTGAATGATTTAGTTGGTGAAGAACAAACCTCAAGAAAACCTGCGAAAATCGATTGTCTTTTTTTTTTTTTTTTGAATAGGGAAAAGGGTTTCTATGGGTTTCTATCTTCAAAATGACAAAAACCCAATGAGCAGAACGTTGCATCTTTGACATAAATCGGTTGATTTTAACTGTGCCAAATAAAGCCTGTAATTTAATGCAAACATAATGGATTACTTTTTACTAGACCTATTAGTTTTAAAAAGAGTCTCAAAGAATATATGGGCGTGTTACGAAAACAACGAAAATCATGAGTGTGTATAGTTTCTATAAAATAGATCTCAATCTGATTAAAAGTTAACGGACTGAAGGGGTTGCATGGGTTTGTTCGAGGGGAAAAAGATGAAAATTGATCGTTTTATACAAAAAAAAAAAATTTATTCAAAATATTTAATATCTGAGAGGAAGACATTTGAAAAAGAATTTCTGAAATTTTCAAAGGAAAACATTCATAGCTCCGACTTTATTATGTCATATCCGGTAACCGCTCGGAGAAATAGCGCGTCTGATTTATTGAAAGTAGAACTCAAGTTCGGATCATCCGAAGTGCCAAAAAAATAAGTTTTAGTTAAAACCATAGGTAAAAATTTGGACGAGAGAAAGTAAAAAAGTTAAGCTTGAGCAATGTTTTTTTTTTACAAATAAATATTCAATAAAATAAAAGTGACAATCCTTCGTACGATTCCTTGTTGATTGTATCTCAAAGATCTGTGTAAAACTTCATCTAGATCGATTGAGTAGTTTTCGAGAAATTTTGACAACTGACGTTGAAAAGATGATTTCGAAAAAAACGCTTTTGAAGCTGAAGCTGAGACTTGACTTTGAGCGCGCATCTTGCCAGGGCTGTACCTCCGAAACTTTTATTCAGTCCTACTGGCAAACTTCAGACAACATTCTTGAGATATTTAGAAATTAATAGGATAATAAAAAATCGATTTGATTAAGTTGTGAACTCACGTAAACCCTGAAGAAAGTTTTTGGCACCGCATATATTTTTCAACACTTTTTTTAAGACTTTATATTTTTTCAAATAAAAAAAAAGTTTCGGATTATCACTATTTTTTTTAACCAAACCAAATTCAACTAAAAAAACAAAGAAAAAGCAAAAAAAAAATATCAGAAATGTAGTACCACAGTTCATTAACTGCTTGTATAGAGTGTCCCAAAATTAAATTTCCCGTATGTATATTTGAAGAGTTTACAACCCTATAAAAAACAAAACCGACAGCTGACAGTTTGGGCTTAGTAAAAAGTCAAAAATAATGAAGGCTTTGCGGCCTGAGCTCGAAAATTCCATACAAAATATGCTCGGGAAAGTGTTTTAACTTCGTCAACTGTGAATAGCTTAGTTGAAAGATTCCAGGAGATAGAATCCATTGGAGAAGCCCAAAACCCAATGGTCGTCCAAAAAAGGTGTTCTAATGGCAATATCGAGCAGTGCGTCAGAGTGTCGGTGATATTACAGAATTCCATCACGGGACAATTATTGAAAATTTCAAGAGGCTCTCTACTAGAGCTCAAGATTTTGAACTTGAGCATTTGAGCGATGAGTACACGCCCACTCGTTTATTGCTCATTATTCGAGAACGAGTAGTTCGATCATTTCTTTCTATAGTTACCCATTTTAAAAAAAAACCTTCACGATTTTCGTTATTTTTTTTATCGACGCCCATAACTACTAGGAAAATATTTTTAATATAAGTTTTAGATCGATTTCTGACAGTTATGGCATGCCATATGATTGCCGCCAAATCGTAGATCATTGCGCTGAAAATCAGCAGTTTTAAAAATATATATAAAAAACCTCATATAATCACCATTCACCGTTAGTTCAACGCATGACGACAACGCACAACCCTTGGGCGCTGAGATTGGCATGATCTATGGTGAATACTTAATGTTGGATAAGGTTTTAAGCGCACAACGTATGCTCTCCGAGGTGGACAATCGGCCGGTGCATGATGAGCATCTATTTATTGTTACCCATCAAGGTGAGTGGAATGTGCATGCAATGAAGTGAAAATAATAATTCTTATTATTATTAGTATTTTTTCAAATAAATATGTGCAAATAAAAAGCAAAAATAGTTACTTTGTTTATGATCAAATCTTATGTATGGGTTCGTATGTCTTGAACCCGCGCGTCAATCATAATGTACATATGCATATTTGTTTGTTTGTAAATCAGCTTGACTGGTTTCACTGAACTCTTATCAGGCCTTGTCTTTTAAAAATTCAATTCAAGTGTCTGAGTGTCATAACGAAAGATGATGTTGTTTTCACTTACTCAATACTTAGTTGCGTTTCAAACATTGTGCATCTACTCACAGTTATACACACATTCGTATGTACATGCATATATGTACATGTATATATGTCTGTATTTATGTACATAATTATTTATTGTAAATAATGAAATATAGTAAGAAATGGCGCGCATAATTTTGGAGCTGTCTTGAATGAACTATTCACATACAGACATACAGACATACATGTCATACAACTGATATAATCTACGAGGGGATTAACAAAAGTTCGGTCAGTTGGTGGCAATCAACACGTTTTTGGTAAATCTAAAAATACCAAATCCTTTGCAATTACCTTATTAGTCGTCCTTTCAAATTTTAGAATAATCGGCTAAAATGGCGACGAGAAAACGCGAGTTAGCTGAGGATAGGTCAGACGAAATTCCACCACCAATCCAAACAGAAGTTTGCCATGTAATTCTCTTCTGCTTTTGTAATAATTTTCAGCCAATATAAATATTAAGTGAATGCCATATTGCAAGCTCCGAGAAGGTCGGTCAAAATCTTGCACTGATGACGTCATTATAGCTGTGGTGAAGTCCCAAATTGACGAAGACCTACGACTGATACAATAACTGATTGTTAATGGTTGGAGCTTGAATACCATGGCCGAATATTAAATCTGGGATACACGAAGAAATTTGCTCGATGGGTGCCACGAATCTTAAATGAGACCCGAAAACAGGCTCGAGTGCATTTTGCTCAATTTTTCTTTAACAAATGTGAAAAAGGTCAGTCTAGCAACTTTAGTAAAGTCGTTACTGGTGATTAATCTTGGTTCCATGAGTATGATTCAGACATCAAACCGCAGTCCAGTCAGCCTGGAAATGCAAAGGAGAATCACTCTTACCAACAGGTGCTAATTTAGACTGAGTAGGCAATTCAAAAGTAAAGTCCCCTCTCGACGTACAGCAACCAAATTCTATAAGTCGCTCATAATATAGTGCAGAAGTAGAGTCGTCCGAATCCATCCATATCGTCCGAATAAATGAAAATGCTCCAACTTTGTACTACCCATCGGTGGAAGTCGAAGTAGAGGAAGACCTCCGCTTCGTTGAAAGGTCCAGGTGGAAAGCGAAATGGTATCCCTTGGTATTTGCAACTGGCGAGAAGAAAAGGAACGAATGGTGCGTTTTTATTAATTCGGCTATAATAACATAAGTGCTGTCTTTGCCACTGAATAAAAAGGGGGAAGAAGAGTTATTACAGCTGTCGATATGTCAAAGGAGAATCTGTCTAGATGAATAAGAGCTGAACGAGATTCCATTCAGAAATCTTGAGTATGCTCTTTCAGCAAGAGCTCGTTTTAGCAAATACTTTGCCGAGGGCAATGGGCTTAATGTGGAGAGAAGGTGCCTCCTCTCGCAAGTGCGTCTGGGTAATTGCTGTGTCCAGCATCCACATCAAAGCTATCTTGCATTTTATTCAGATTACTGCTACTTTTTATAGCCATTTTTGATGGGGTATTGTTGCACTGTACAGATCTAATGGCAGCTTGACTGTCGGAATATCTCGTAACTGATTGTCCTGCTACCGTAAATTTGAGCAACCACTCGTCGGCCTCCATGAGAGTGCTGCAAAGAGAGCTGCTTGAAAGGCGTTGCCATGATCTGGTAGTTTCAAGCTTAAATTTATAGAGAGCAGTGGAGAGTGGATTTCTCAATCCACTTTTTCATCGAGTTCGCATTCATCAAGGGTATAAAAATTAGTTTATGATAACCTGGACGAAAAACTATTGCCAAATTTGCATGATTTACTAAACAAACAACCTCAAAAAACTTATTTTAAAAACAATTTTTCTCCCTTTAATTATTTTATTTCAGCTTACGAATTATGGTTCAAGCAGATAATATTTGAACTCGACTCCATACGTGAAATGTTGAACATAGAGGATATGGAGGAGTCGAAAACGCTGGAGATTTTAAAGCGCTTAAATCGCATAGTACTCATACTCAAGGTAAATACGATCGTTTTAGGACACCTATTGGGTACTCACTGCAAAACACTACTCACTCCCTTCTTCCAGTTACTGGTCGATCAAGTACCCATTTTGGAGACGATGACACCGCTTGATTTCATGGACTTTCGCACATATCTTGCACCTGCTTCCGGCTTTCAGAGTCTACAGTTTCGTTTGATAGAGAATAAACTTGGCGTCAAGACCGAACAACGTGTTAAATACAATAAAAAATACTCAGAGGCCTTCAGTCATGAGGCAGCAGCATTGGAAGCACTAGAAAAATCCGAGAACGAGCCATCAATGCTGGAATTAATACAAAAGTGGTTGGAACGTACACCGGGTCTGGAAAAGGACGGTTTCAATTTCTGGGCGAAATTTGAGGCGAGCGTTGAGAAATTCTTAGCACAGCAAGTGCAAGCAGCGATGGTACGTATCTTTTATTTACTACACAAGAATACGAATAATATACACTATGCTTGCAGCAAGAACCTGTCGAAGCGGCACGCAACTACTATCTCATGGACATTGAAAAGCGACGCGAGGTCTATCGCAGCATATTCGATCGTGATGTGCACGAGGCGCTGGTGTCGCGTGGCGATCGTCGTTTCAGCTATAAAGCACTGCAGGGCGCCATTATGATCACGTTTTACCGTGATGAGCCACGCTTCAGTCAACCGCATCAGATGCTAACCCTGCTGATGGACATTGATTCGCTTATAACGAAATGGAGATGTAAGAAGAAAAAATCCAAAAAAAAAAAAAAAAAAAAATCTCGCCTACCTTGGCAATCACTTCTTGTAATTGTTGGTATACTCTGTCTTGCAGATAACCACATGATTATGGTGCAACGCATGATTGGGTCACAACAGCTGGGCACCGGCGGCTCTTCGGGTTACCAGTATTTGCGCTCCACGTTAAGGTAATTTTTTCCATTTGACTTGGCTCGCCAAAGAGTATAATTAATCAGCTGTCGTTTGGATTTTGCTTCCACAGTGATCGTTACAAAGTGTTCTTGGATTTATTCAATTTGTCAACATTTCTTATTCCACGCGATGTCATACCTCCACTGGATGTCTCCATGCGAAAGGAGTTAATTAATTGATATTAATATTTATTTAAAACAAATGAATGCGCGATATTCACAGTTATGTTAATGAACATATTTTATAATTCCAATAACTCTGTAGGTAGCATACATACATACATATACGTATATAATATTATAAATAATTTCCAAACTCACAAATTCATCTTAATGGCTACTTACGGATTTCGCTTCACTTTAATTGTATGGAAATTGATTAATTTCCCCGAAATTATTTTGTTTACATTAAAATTAAAAACTTTTCTATGAAGGCGATTTTATTTTGCAGGAATCTTCGAGCCAATTATAATGAAAACAAGAAAAAAATCAAATAAAATTTACAGGAAGAAATAAATATGATAAAAAATATAAAAAAAATAGATAAAAAATAAATAAATAATAATAAAATAAAAGAATATAAATAAATATCAGGTGTACAACTTTGCTTCCGCCGTTTTTTTTCCAAAATTAAAAGCTTTATTGCGAAAAAGTGCTTATAGATATATTATTCAAAGTATTGTCCTTTGCTAGCGACAACTTTCTCCCTTCGTTCCTACAATTTTCGGTTCCCGGCTCGAAAAAAGGAGTCCTCTTTTGACGCTATCCTTGAAGCAATCCATTTTTCCAATTCTTCGTAGGATTGAAAATGTTGATCTGCCAGGCCGTGTGCCATCGAACGAAATGGGTGGAAGATGAGGCGACATCTGGGGAATACGGCGGGTGGGGCAAGACTTTCCATTTCAGCGTTCCAGGTACTTTTCGACCACTTTTGCGACGTGAGGCCGAGCATTGTCGTGTTGGAGGATGACTTTGTCATGTCGCTCTTTATATTGTGGCCGCTTTTCTTTTAGCTCGCGACTAAGGCGCATCAGTTGCGTTCGGTAGCGATCTCCTGTGATGGTTTCACCCGGTTTTAAGAGCTCGTAGTAAATCATACCGAGCTGATCCCAACAAATACAAATCATAATCACCATGTTTGTCTTCGACATCGATTTCACCATTTTTGAAACGTCGAAACCACTCCCGACACGTTCTTTCACTCAGAGCAGCATCACCGTAAGTTTCTGAGAGGATTCGATACGCTTCAGTTGCATTTTTTTTCGAATTCTAAGAGAAAAGTAAAACTTTCCGGAAAACGGCGGAAGCAAAGTTGTACACCTGATAATAAAATTTTTTAGCAAATAATTAATAAATATATAAGCTAAGAACATTCATAATAGAAAGCTAAAAGTAACATTTTACAACATTTAAAATAGATAAATAACAAAAACAATTTTAACATTTAGTTAAAAATAAATAAGATACACAATTTTTTGAGATAAAAAAAGTAAATAATAATAAAATAAAAATATATAAAAAAAAATCACAAAAGAAATAGAAATAAATAAAATCTATAAAATTATATATTTCAAAAAGAAAAATACTAAATTAATTAATAAATTAAATATTAAATAAATAAAAATGTAAAAGCTTAAAAGTTAAATATTGAAAAAAGAAGAAAAAGCTGCAAAATCAAAAAAAATTATCAAAATTAATTTAAAAAGCAATAGTTATCAAAAAATTAATTAATAATTGAGTAAAAATATATAAGATAAAAAACTGAATATAACGACAAAAGTAAAAAATTAAATTAAATAAAAAATAAAAAAAAAAAATAAAAAAATAAAAAAAATAAAAAATAAATTAAAATTTTTTTAAAATAAATTAAAAAAATACGGAAAAAATAAATAGGATAAAATAATAAATAGCAATAATAAGTAGCCGAGTGGTTAAAATTGCGTGCTGCCATTCGGAAGACTTGCGTTCATATCCTGGTGTCTTACGAGCATCCAAAAATTATGGAAATTTAATTGAAATAAAAAATTAAGTTTAATTTTCTAATCGCGGTCGCCCCTCGCCAGGGAATGACAGCCCCTCAGCGTGTATTTCTGACATGAAGTAAAGCTCTTCGTAAAAAAAAAAGCCATCAGCCGTTCGGAGGCGGCACAGTAAATGCTGTTGGTCCCTCCATTTGTTGGAAAAACATCAAGATGCATAACCACAAATTGGAGGAGGAGCTCGCATTTATTATTTATTTTGATTTTTTTTGGCTTGGTTCTAGGTACTTGTAGTGGGCGATCGCAAAGTTGCGAAGTAGGTAGCCGGTTTCATCTCCGCTGCAGTTCGACAGTACTCATCATCCCAATTCTTTCACTAACACTGCCGAAAACCAATTGTTTTCGTATCGAAGGTACCCTTTTACCGAGTTCCTGATAAGTGCTCTCGGAGAGCAGGAGCGCAAGTCGAGTCGGAAACCGCTCGGCTATTTGTTGTGATTGCAGCTCTTCAACGTTGAACCTTCCCTGTGTTTGTTGACGGGCATTCTTCGGTACTAAAAGTTGCTTGTGTATCTACGCTGCGACAATATAGTGGTGCCAGTCGCCAAGTTGATGTTAGGTGCTCGGAACGCATGCACATCTAAAACACTGGATACATGTCATTCGTTTGTCTATCACCATATGATCGTTTCGCTTGAGAGCTCTCCGATCTAAAGACAGCTAAGTAGCCATATTTCTGGCCCTGGATCCCCGTGCCCGTAGTCGATCAGCCTCAATCCATTTGGGGATTTCTCATCTTGAAGGTTTTATTTTACGATAGTTGAGCCGAATATACCTTGTTTGCCCACCCAGGCGTTGAAGTCGCCAAGCACAAGTCTCACATCATGGCAAGGACAGCGCTGTAGTAAATTTCTCAAGGATTCAGCTTCTTCCGTACCTGTCACATCCATCACATTTGCTGGACAGCGGTAATGTTGGTTCTTAGCCGCACAAGGATAACAACTAGTTGGGCAGCGACGCGTTCAGCATTTAGCGGTCAAACCTTCCAGGTGCAGGCCCTCATCTTCGTGAGGAAATGTTCCAAAACTAATGAATGAGTGACTGAATCGATGAAATTTAAATGCCTGCCGCTTATTGGCCCCTAGTAATGTCATAATTAATGAATGATACACATTTTATATAAATTTTTTACGAGTTATTTACTCAGTCATAATATATATTTATTCATATATATATATATATTATATATGTATACATATACATAACTATTAATACAATATACATTTCATTTTTGTTTAATTCAAATCTCAATATCATAATACAATGGTTTTTTTTCAATTTTTATTCAAGTTCTTTATTTTTTTGGTATTTCTTATTTGTTTATATCTGTATATGCATGCATGCTTGTGTGTGTGTTTTGTTCATATATTTTTAACGCTAAATTACTTTTTCTTTATTTATTTTATAATTTTTTTTTTATTTTTATATTTCCTTTTTTTTACTTGTTTTTTTTATTGCTATATCAATATGAAAATCCATCAAACCAAACGCCTTGGTAGGGCTAACACAACCGCAAACATGTTGATACATAAATACATACATACATATTTAGTTATAATTTTTCTATTTAATTTTTTGTTTGTTTTGTAATCAGTTGGTTATGGGCGAGGAAGGAGATCGTTTTGTGTCCTTCTACAAAAAAATGGCTATAAACATACATACATACTACATGTATTTGGTTGTGTGTGTTTGCATGTACAATATGTTACTGTTAAATTGCACCAATCCTTGCATTTACACACTTATGGCTAATACAGAAAAATACAATTCTAAATATTATATTTTCTAAATTTTTTTTGTTGTATGTATTTATTTAACCAATGCACATATGTACATATAATATATGTACATACAATTGTATGTAGGCATGTTTGTTTTGGAATACATATTTTTTAATCTCATTTTCTTTTGACTAATACAAAGTGATGTTTAAAGCTGTCAAATGCAGCACTATTTTTCGTGTACATACTATGTACATACATACATTTGTATGTATATATGTATGCATTATAATTCATTTGTTGGTAATGAAAACATTTATTTTTCATACATTTTCCTCAACTGTATGTAATATTTTGGTTGTATTTTTGAAAAAATTTTGCACATATGTACATACATATGTATTATAGTATATGCATATATTTACCTCGCTTACGAATTTTATTTATTTTTTTCTTTGAAAATTTTGGTTTCTTCACGAGCGTTTAGTGCTGTTCTATGGCTTACACACTCAATTCATATGTGCTTCAAATAAATACATACAAATATTATATGTACATACATATATGCAATAAAGTGTTACATACATACATATAAAATTTATATACATACATGGTGTATTCAAAATGTTTATGCTTCATTGAGTTTGTTTTCCTTTTTTGTTGCATTATTTTCTATATTAGATTATATTAGATTTCTATGTGTTATATACATACATATAATATATTATATATGAACCTGTAGTGTACTATGTATGTATGTATGTAAATATTTTTAAAAACTATTTTCTCACTGCTTTCTGTATTTATTTCAATTTCGAACATTTTTTTTTTCTCATATATGTCTTAAAGCATACAATTCCATCTAAATACAAACATAAATACATGCATTTAACTGTTACATGTTGTATGATTTATACATACATTTTCATATGCATACATGAATTTATATGTATGTAAATATAAGTATATATAATATAATTTTTTATACGTACATATTGTTCAAAATACGCCGCTACATACATCTATGTATTTTTATTATATATTTTATACAATTTTCAACATTATTATTTTTTATACATATGTATGTAAAACTAAACAACTACAAAATAACACAAATTTTATCTTAAAAATTAAAGAAAAAATATTTTAAATATTCTTTTTAATTTAATTAATTCTTAATTTTTTTATATATTTCATTCATAAATATTTCTATGGAATTCTATTCCCGCTTTGTTGCTTGCCTTTTTTCCATAATTTCCTTATGCCACTTACGTGTACTTTTATTACTAATCCTTTAAAGTTGAAATTTTCTTTACAAGCTAGCTCTAACGGTTCATTTTTTTTCTTTATAAATCTCTAACTAAACGTTTTCAATAAATTATTTAATATAGTTTTTTATTTCATATTTAATATTATTTAATTAAGTTTTCCATTAAGTTTTTAACTGCCGCATACTCACTTTTTTATACGTAATTACTTTTAGTATTTTTTTCTTTAATTTTACTTATACATATATATTATATGTACTTTGCAACGGTCTTATAATTAGACTTTAATTCCACCACTTTTGGCACTGTCAATGAAAAATAACCGCAACTTATTATTAATATTTGAATATTAATACATATACATATATATATATATGAGTATAATATATTTATTAGATAATGTACTAAGTATATAGCTACTTTTATATTATGACTTTAAGTTTACTAATAAAGTAAATACATATTCACATAGAAATAAATT